CATAACCTCCTGGAGTATTCACACAGCACTGGTCACTCACCTCTACATGTGTGATTGTCATCTTGAAGGGTCACTCACCTCTACATGTGTGATTGTCATCTTGAAGGGTCACTCACCTCTACATGTGTGATTGTCATCTTGAAGGGTCAACCCTGCAGGGCACTGACACTCATAACCTCCTGGAGTATTCATACAGCTGTGGCTACACGGCTTCATCTCAAGGCATTCATCTATGTCTACAATAATATTAAACTTTGACCTTAAAAAGTCCTTAAAACACACCTGCAGAAGGTTTTTTTTTTTTACTTTGTTGCCTGTGTACGTTGCACAGATATACATGTCAATTTTTAAAGTATGCTTAATAATTCAAAAGTAAAGATGCATGTACATATAGGTTTGCATGTTAAGGGCTTGAGGTAAATTGTTGACCAATAAATAAGAATGATGTGAATTTTTCTTCAGTCAACAGCTAATATTGAGATAGGTTTTACCTCCAATATTTCGATGTCTATCAGAAAATCTTCTTCAGGGAGGTAAAACCTATCTCAATATTAGCTGTTGACTGAAGAAAAATTCACATCATTCTTATAACTTAACAGCTGATGAAATTCTTCTTTGACTGACCAATAAATACACTCACAAGCGCGTGCACATACATACACACTCACCCATGCACAAATTTGCACACACATGCCGACTCACATTCATGCACACACACACACACACACACACACACACACACACACACACTTCACAAAAGTGCTGTGCACCAGCTGGCTCAATGGAATAGATGCATCCTAAGAGATATTTTCTTCTGATAAAAGTTAGGGTTCACCAATTGTATATTCAATCAAACAGTCAGTTATCTCATGGTACATGTTCTTCTAATAAAATACCAAAAGACTGATTGGTGGCATCAAAACAGTCAGCTATAATAGCAAAGTAAGCAATGCTAAATTCACTGTAGCCATCTGAGTCACCTTAGCCATCTACATGTAAGTCACCTTAGCAACACGAACAGTTTGAGGTAAATTTGCAAGAAGGAATTTTACAATGCAAATGAAGTCACAGACTCCGCGCTTTACCTCTGCACCGTCCGTCCTCACCATCCAATGTGAATCCAGGGCGACAAGAGCACTGGTAGCTGCCAAATGTGTCTGTGCAAATCTGGTCACAAATCCCCGGCCTTTCACACTCATTGACATCTGGAAAGTTAAAAATGTTCATCATGAAAAGGATGAAATCAATGCTATATCCTAATTATGGTACAGTTGGTTATATGACCTAATTATGATACAGTTGGTTATGTGACCTAATTATGGTACAGTTGGTTATATGGCCTTACTGTGGCATATATATAGATTCTAATATGGGGTTGTGGTTGGAATTTAAGAAGGGAAGTGTCTTCCCATCAATACATTTTGAATTTTACCTTATTAGCAATAGCTATATGTTGTATATGTAATTATCATGAATTATTCTACTAAGTTAATTATAGGATTGGATACAAGATTGTGTATGTACGTGTATTTTCCTTTTACTAAGGAAATAAGACCAGTATTTCAGTGACTAAGCATCTGTATTATAAGTATTTGTGTGCACTACAGTGTGCGTGCGCCTTCGGATGTGTGAGGCTGTATGAGAAAAAATGTGTGTACGAATGTGCATATACACTATATTACATTAAGACACAATCTATTATATCTCTAGTTCTTATAGTGGTGCACAGTATCACCTTGCTTCGTTGACGTATTGTTCAGTTTATAATGTACTCTGTAATGTACTGAAGAATTTTGTATATTGTATTATACGTTCTACAATATTAAAATAATAGTTCAGTGACTGTGCACCCATAAAAGTGTATATATTGTATTAAGTTAAAACTGTACTGATGTAGTGTATTGTTTTGTATTTGTACTGAAATGTGCTTTCTGATTCTGTGATGTATTGCATGTTCTCGTATGTTTGTCCTCTTTGTAATGTGCTGTATTGTGTTTGTATATGTTTAAAAAAAAAAAATTTTTTTTCCTTTTACTATGTCAAAACTTGGAAATTACTGCTAGTTACCTTACCTTCAAACCATGCTGCAACTCCTGTAAGAGTGCAGTCAGAGCAGTGGACTTCCAGATCCACAGATTAAATATGGCCGACCCACTTGAGTACTTGTAGCATAATCCCTGCAGGAATGTGTTAAACCGGGAATTAAGCCGCAAGGTTTTAAGTGGGTCGTCATATATTTATTCATGGCTCTGTCAGTCTTCTGTCCTATATGCCTTCTTAAGGGGCTGTCAGAACATGTTGATCTGCAGACTAACAGACCTGTGGATCAAATTTGTCTGACCCAGCTTATCTCTTAATTGTCTCCCCACCTTCCATGCACACCAGCCCTATAGGGGGCGCTAGCAATTAAACAGATTAAATTGCTAAGATCCTACAGGGCTATAGTGCCTGTGACAGGCGGGGAGACCATGAGGGGATTAGCAGCTGTGCTTTAAAGTTTCCTATTTGAGCCACAGACAAGTAAGTCAGCAGATCATCTGTTTTGCATGTGGATTAACACAAACATTATCCAATAATACTTACTGTTACATGGACTGTTAGGTCCCGAAGCTTGGAACCCCTTCTTGCATGTACATGTGTATGAGCCAGGCGTGTTCATACACGTCGCATGCGGCCCACAGTTGTCTATCTGCTCCGCACATTCATCAATATCTTAGGAGGAAACAAAATAAACTGCAGTCATTTTATAACAACATTCAAATAATACACGTAAGTAAAATATTAATCTAAAATAGACAGGTTTCAATTATTGTTTCTATATTGCTAAAATTCTGTGAATGTTGTCACAAAAGTTGTTTTGTTCTCTTTTTTGTCATTGATTAATTTTAGGTTCATTACTACGTATGGCTGTATTTGTATGAGCAGTTCATTCAGAATATTGTTGGGAAATTCATCTGGGAGTAAAAAGTTGGTGTCAAAATTATTATAAACATGTCGGTTTAGGTTCCACAGACATACCATTTTACATGGCTAATTTTCCAGCTGTTCAAATATCTAGAATCCTTCAGTTGCAGAAATCAAAACCTGTGTCCACTAGATGTATTCTAAATAACTGCACGGCAGTCCTAAACCACTGTCACAATCAACAGTTCACAGTACAAACCTACCTTCACAAGACACTTTGTTAGCAAGTAGAGTGTATCCTGTTACACAGCCGCACATGTAGCTACCAGCTGTGTTTTTGCACGTGCCAATGACAGGAGCACATGGACCATCGGCACACTCATCTACATCTGGAATAATAATAATAATAATAATAATAATAGTGGTAGTAATAATAATAATAATAATAATAATAATAATAATAGTGGTAGTAATAATAATAATAATAATAATGTGAGATCGTCTAAAGATAGGGAACTGTGGAGGTCCATTACAGTCCCGCAAGTACAAGATACTTAAAGAGACAGAGATAATCATAATAAATTTAAACTAATGATGTCACATAGACTTACCCACACACTGTCCATCATCTTGTTTCTGGTATCCTCTGTCGCACCTGCAGTTAAAGGAGCCCTCGGTGTTTTCACAAGTGCTGTGCAGGGGACACACGTCTCCTTGACACTCATCAACGTCTTCAGTGCAGAGAGGGGGATCAGAAAATATGTACACTTTAATTTCCATTTTCAAAGGCACAGAATTATCTAACAACAACAGATTATGATCATGACAGCTATTTCATCAATTTAATTAATATGTAAAACAAGGCAGCAAAGCTGTCAAATGTACAGACAAAAAGCAGAAAATAAAAATGCAGAAAATAGAATACTGTCAATTCATAAAAATTATATTACATCATGGAATATGCCAGGGAGATTATAATACAGGTAAATATATATCAAGATAATGCAAAACAGATTCAGTCCTGGTCACTTGCGGTCAGTGAGTAACAACATCTTACATCAGTCTGATGAAGGCCTACGGCCAGGTTGGCCGTAAGCTAATGGTATGAAAGATCTTTGGCTTGTGTTTAATAATTTTCATTTATGATATATCAAGGTCAAGTAAAACAGCTTCATAACTTCAAATAACCACCAGACCTTGGCATGTTTTGTTGTCCCTGGCCAACACGTATCCCTCAAAACAGCTGCACTTGAAGCTGCCACGGACATTTTCACACACCTGGGTGCAGTCATTGCTGTCACCACATTCATCAAAATCTGGAAAAAGGAATCTAAAATTTAAAATGTCGGCAATTTGCATTTTATAAAAAACAGCACCAATCAGCTCGTCCATATCTTACAATAGTGACTTGTAATCAATTACCATTCCAATACTTCAGTTCGGAACTTCTATAAAGTAATACTGGGTTTCTCAATGTGGAATTCAGTGAACAGATGCACTCATTTTCTGTCATTGTTCAAGTCTGATGGTATTCACTGATATCATATCAGGTTGTGAAGAAGGAGCTTTCCCAATATATGAAGAAATAAAGCCTAAAGAAAAGTGTAAAAACATACTGTTATTTTAAGCTGAATTAGCTTTTGGGATGCACATTTATTATAAATGGAACATGTTCACTTGTAGTAAAGAAACCATTGCTACTTTGCTATGCTCATATTGGTCAGCCCCCCTTTCCACCCTGTACCTCTGCAGGTTAGTTTGTCATCCCGTAGAGCAAAGCCGCTGTCACAGGTACATTTGTATGAGCCCACTGTGTTGGTACAGCCCTGCTCACAGCTGTGGCTCCCGTCTTCACATTCATCTATATCTTTAAAACAAAAACCATATATGTGATATGTTTCAGGCACAGGTCTATCAACTACGTATGCACAGTTCAAAGTTCAAAGGTCCAGAACAGAAGTACCCAGAGATGTAAGTGAATCTTGACGTATTTTTCAAATGTAAAAAAAAAGATCACTGCAGCCAGATTAGTATGTACACAAAGTAACTTCATGGACATATGTTAATGTGTTTTTTCTTTTGTCCCAAATTTGCCCTTAAAACATTGCTGAGGTACTGAGTTTACTTCTGCCCCTATCCCGGGTCGCCCAATGCCAGTCTGCTGTAGTTACCATGGCAGCGTCCATCGGTCCCCAGAACAAAGCCAGGATTGCAGGAGCACATGTAACTGCCCACAGTGTTTGTGCAGACCTGGTCACATAAAGGAGGCGTGATGGCGTCGCTGCATTCGTTGTCGTCTGGAAGTGGAATTGTACACTTTGTATTACATAAAGGTGTAGAAAGTAAGATTCGTTATAAATCAAGTATAAGTTCTCAGTAATTAGAGAGGAATCTTCAAAATATGGCAACCTATAATCATAGCAGAACTATGGATGACAGATGCACAATATGGCTGACAGAAAGGACACCAAGATATGGACATAGGCAACAAGGGAAGCTTCATCAGAGATGGAGGGATGAATTAGACAAGTTCTGGAAAATAACCAAATTGGAAGTCTAAAGACAGAATTTATACACTAGAAGCAGCATGCTGTGGCCCTTTTTTTCAACAGTGAAACACTTTGGGCTCTGAATGATGACGATGATGATTATGATGATGATGGTGATAATCATATGAGTAAAAAAAAAAAAGAAAAAAAAAAGAAAAAAAAACCTCTCATGTCCTTCCCTATACCATCTACTTACCAACACAGGCTGATCCAGATGCCACAAATCCTTTCATACAGATACACTTACCAACACAAGCTGATCCAGATGCCACAAATCCTTTCATACAGGTGCACTTACCAACACAATCTGATCCAGATGCCACAAATCCTTTCATACAATTACACTTACCAACACAAGCTGATCCAGATGCCACAAATCCTTTCATACAGGTACACTTACCAACACAAGCTGATCCAGATGCCACAAATCCTTTCATACA